ATCACTGGAGGGAGGCTGATCCCATCACTGAAGGGAGGCTGATCCCATCACTGAAGGGGGGCTGATCCCATCACTGAAGGGAGGCTGATCCCATCACTGAAGGGGGGCTGATCCCATCACTGAAGGGGGGTTGATCTCATAATCTGAAGGGAGGCTGATCCCATGAAGGAGGAAAAATAATGGGTGGTTTTAGCTGCTAATAGGTATAACGGGAACAGTTGGCGTAGTGTTTCGATGGTCGAATGGAATGCATTTTACTAATGTGGCATTTCATATCATGATCGTTTCTCAGTCTGTTGGACTATTGACCAAATGGTTGGAGTGGAGTTTGGCCATGGGTGGAGTGACGACAGAGGGGCGTAAGAAGTGGAAGCCATCGAGAGAAGACGTTCGGTACATGACGCTGTATACGATGGGTATCTGTGCGCTGCTTGTGGTGTCATTTGTGTTTATGATTGGATGGCTTAAGTCGGTTCGACGGATTTATGGGGTAGGTGGTAATGGATGGGAACGTAAGAATTATTTGATGGTAATGAGGGAGAAATATTCCCTTGAAGCGAGCGATGAATTAGAACGCTACAAAGAACAGTACAAAAAGGAACTTCTTCCTGCCAAAAGAGATGAACCACCATCTCCCAATAAATCACCTACTTCTCTCTCTATTATGAGCTTCCTATTGGGCAATCATCATCAAGATACTGGTTACCATCATCAAGACGATGGTTACCATCATCAAGACGATAGTCATCGTACAGCTGTCAGCCATCTTCAAAACACCAGACAAAACACGTCTCCCAGGGAAAAAGCAAAAAATACACGACCTAATGGTGATCGTAGCAAGAGAGGTAATGCCTTCGCTACGACACCACCCGAGGTCCCATCATCCCTCTCGCAAACTGGAAACGTGGGCACCCAGAATCATACTTCAACTCATCCGCACAAATTCAGAAGATGGCTCAGCCGAAAGGCATCCGTCCAACAACCACTAACGACTGCCAACATTACACCCACGAAATCACCGACCCAGGATATTCCCGCTGATACTATTGTCGTTGACATTAAACCGAGCAACAACAAAAATAACAACAAAACTGATGGAATCTCCGGGGTCTCTACCATCGACGATGATGACGAAGTATCCCGCAAGAGCATATCAGACTGGTTTTGACCTGATTTAATTGTCAGGAGTCCTTTGATCGAGAAGTCCCTTGATCGAGAAGTCCCTTGATCGAGAAGTCCTTTGATCGAGAAGTCCGTTGGTCGACCATTGTTCGTTGTGGGGGGGGGGTTCTTTGGGGG